CACACGGCCCGGGCTTGGGTTCCCAGCCCCATTCCCCCCCTCCATCTGCCTCCCACACACCCAGCCAGCCGTGGGCACCAAGGAGGGCATCTGACCCACAACCCCAGCTCACGGGTCAGAGGGGATGGCAAATACTGCGCAGGCAGCCAGCGCCCAAACGGGACATCCCTGGGGCAGCCATGTCCTGGGGTCACGCTCTGCCATGCCCTTTGAGCATCTCTGGGAGCTTCTCGTGAGACAACGCGGCTGGTGCTGCTGAGTGACATTACTGTGGGGGCTGCTCAGCCTCCTGCCCTGCCGTGAGGGGATGGGGCTGGCCGAGGGTTGAGTCACTGTGTGGGAGCACAGGGAGTTCCCGTCACTGTGGGTGAGCTGGAGAGACCTCAGAGATGTCAGAGGCTGGGAGCAGCCAGACCCAGGGCTGGGGGTGCAGCAGGAGTCGCTGGTGGCAGAGCAGGTGTGACTGCCCCACCCCTCCAGCCTCAGCAGGCTGAGCCTGCTGCCCCTGCCCTCCCCAGCACTTTCACTTTTGATTCACAAACAGCTCTGGGCTCGGGGCTGCTCCACCAGCGCCGATGTGGCAACAGAAACTGTTCCTTGACTCCAGCCACGGATCCCCTCCTATTGTCTGATCAACAGCACACCAAGGACAAGGTCAAGTCTCCCTGAAGGCTCTACCCTTCCTCCCTGCAGCTTCAGAGAAGCTTTCACAAAAATCAAGAAAAAAACCCCAGTGGTCCTGCAGAGAGCACAGAAGATGTTTTCAGAGGGGAAGCGTCGCCGCCAGGAAACAGACGGTTCTGTCCCACCCACACCTACAGCAAACAGCCCAAAGCCTCTCCCAACCCCTTCTAATTAAGAAAAAAACACTCCTCCACAGAGGCATTTACATGCCAAGGAAAACCTGAGCTGTGAGTCCCGGAAAGTTAAGAACTTAATAGGAAAATGCTGAAGTGCTTAATTAACACCGAGGCTGCAAGAACCTGACACTGTCCTGCCCTGCAAGGAGCCCTGGGCAGTGTCCCCAGCAGGGGAGGTGTGAGCTGCCCCTGCTCTGCTGGCACTCAGCACCACTCTGCTCTGGATGCTCACAACTCAGCTGAGGTGACAGCAAACCCTCCTCCCCAAAGGGCTCAGAATCCAGGACCCCCAGTCTCCCCCTCTCACGAGTCCTGTCCCAGCTCCTGCATCCCTGCAGGGTTCCTGAGCACCAGGCTGGGGACTCACAGCCGTGATGGAAGGTTTCTTCCCGTCTCCTGCTGGCGGGTGAGTGACATCGGCCCCCAGAAAGATCACAGGCTGCTGAAAGACGGCGGAGCTGGTGGGAGAGGAGGGAAAGCAGCTGTCAGCCTTTGGGGCCATCTCAGGGTGATGCACAAGCAACAGAGACAAGCAGATAACACCAAGGACATCTCCCGACCTCCAGGCTCTGGTCTGGGCACACAAACAGCTCGTCAAGGCAAGACAGGCTGCAAACCTCATTTCAAAGAGCTCCCTTTGAAAGGCCCCTCTGCCCCAGGTAAAGCCACGCAGGCAGCACCAGCAGGGACGTGGGGCACAGAATCAGAGGGGCAGTGGCCGTACGAACCGCTGGTGAGGCACGAGGATGTTGTTGATCCCGCCGAGCTTGACATTGATCTTGAGGCAGAGGTTGGAAAGGGTCTGTGGGGACGTTTTCACCACGTTCTTGACCTGGACACACTGTGTGGCCATTCCCAGGAGAGTGTCCCCCACACGTTTCACCTCAGCTGTGGGCAGAGGAAGCAAGGTGAGCACATGGGCAGCCAGCACTGTACTGCTCCCACCCAGCCTGGGCAACGGGTGGGGGGAGCACCTCGGGGGAGCAGAGCCAGCCCTGCTGATCCCCAGCAAAGCCCCTCTGCCCTCCCTGCTCACCCCACCCCAGACACACCGTACACAGGTGTCTTCCCGGGCAGGATGACGATGATGAGCTGAAGCCCCGAGTAGGTGTTCTTGAGGTGTCTGAACATGGGCTCCACGCTGTCTGCCCCCTGGGCATACTTGCAGAAGCAGGGCTGGCCCTGGATGGGCATCCCGGCGTCCTTGGAGATCTTGCGCAGTTGGTCGGTGAAGTTCCTGTGCCAGAGGCAGATCTGTGAGCCCTGGACCCTCCTGCAGGCAGCTGTGCCACGCACCCCGGGCCCCGAGCGCGGCGGCATGGGCACAGAGGGGCCTGTCTCACCACCCTGCAGTGCCCAGCAAGGTGCTGGAAACACAAACCCAGCATATGCTGGAGCTGAGCTGTGTCCTCTTGGTGCCCTCTTACCAATGGACTGATCTTTCTCATACAACGGAGCTGAGCCCTTCTCCCTTAGGAAGCTGGAGGAGTGGGGAGCAGACCCTGGGACAGCTGATTTCCAGAGGATGGCAAAGCTGGTGCCAGCCTGACAAAGTGCTCAGCCACACTCTGGATTTTTGGGTTGCCAAGGCTGGATTTGATGCAGTGAGAGCTGGGGGGAGCACAGTGCCCACAGCTCTGCCCCAAAGGAAGAGGAGTGTGGTGTCACTCCCAGTGCATCCAGGTACTGCAGATGTGGAGAGACTGAGCTGCTCCAAACCCCAAACCCTGACCGTACCAAACACATGGAAACTCTCACCCCAGTGCATCCACCTTGCGTGACCTCTCCCTTTCACCTCTCCCCTTCCCCTGGGAGCAGCCATGGCCCCCTGGCTCCCCCCCCACACACACTGCCCCTTTCCTTACTTCAGCACCTCCTCTCGGCACTGCTTCTGCGGGGCGAAGCAGGCGATGGCCCAGACCTTGATCTCAATGCCGTTGTAGAACTGCTTCCCTCGCATGTCCCACACGCCCTGGTTGGGGGTCGCAATGGCTCTGTTCTGCAAGGCAGAGGGAGGGGCAGAGCTGTGGGACAGGCTCTGCTCCTCTCGCAGTGCTGAACATCCACCCGAGTGCTGCAAGGCAGTGCTCAGCGACACTCCGAATGTTTGGGGTGCCAAGGCTGGATTTGGTGCAGTGAGAGCCAGAGGGAGCACAGGGCTCACAGCTCTGCCCCAAAGGGCTCACAGGAGCAGTGTGGGGTCACTGCAGAGTTGAGACAGAGCTGCTCCAAACCCCAACACTGACCATGGCAAACACCCAGAAGAGGCTCAGAAAACTCTCACCCCAATGTATCCACCCCGCGTGACATCTCCCCTTCACCTCACCCAGCAACTCTTAGCTACAACTTTCAGACCAGTTACACTGCAAAAAAAAGAACCCAAAACCCAACCCCGAGGCACTCTGCTCCAGCGTGAGGGTGAGCCAAGGTTTGTGGCGCAGCAGCATTTGAGGTGTGCTCAGCCCCCTTACCCTGCCTCCGTACTGCAGGATGGGCGCCGGCAGCACCCGCCCCGTCACCTCCGTCATGTCGTCCTTCACCTTGATCCCAAACTCCTGGATGTACGGATCCAGGTTGTAGCTGGCATTCTTCATCTGCAGAGGGAAGGAAGGAAGGGCCATGGGAGGGAGTGAGACCGACTGCTGCATCCCAGGCCAGGAAACACGGGCACCTGAACTGCTCCGCACAGAGCTGCAGGTGGAGCAGCTCCGTCGGGGAGGGTGAGGAGGCTAACGCAGAGGTCAGAGCTTCATCCTCCAGGCTGACCCAGGGGACCTGATTTTTGCATGCATTGGGCAATGCAATCAAGAGCAGAGCCTGCTCCTGAGATTTAAGGCTTCAACAGGAAGATTCAGACTGGCAAGAGACTTATCAAGAGTCCCAGAAGGAATATCAAATGTCCTTGGCTGCGAAAGCCCAGAGACACTCGTCTGGGGAACAACAGCCCATTAAGCAGTGGCCAAGGACAGAGCTCCTGCACTGCAGCCCCACACACAGCCACGGGTGTTTCTCTAACTTATTTCCTTGTTTTCAGTTCCAGCTCCCTTTGGATCAGGTTCTGTCAGCACAAGGACCTGAATTTGCTGCACTCCTATTTGCACAGTCACTTTGAGCCAGGCCCCTCTGTGCCTGTGTCCATCACACACACAAACAGAGGAACCTCTGACCCAGGATTCAGCGGGAAGAGGGGACTAAAACCCCGTCATTAACCCCACCAGCACTTCTGGGCAGGTCACAGCTCTCCAGCTGAGGAGCAGGACCACAGCAAGGTCCACCACAGACCCAGCACCATAACCTGCCATCAGGGCCATGGCATTGTCCCCTCCAGGGGCTTCTGCCACCTACCAGTCTGCTGATCTCCTCCTGCCTGTCTGGGGCAGACCTGGCTGTAGCTTTGATCATGGTTGATGTTTGATTGTCCGTGAGCTTCTTGATGCACCTCTGGCCTGCCACGATGTTACACACCTGCAGGAGGGGAGACAGGAGCCATGTGTTAGAGACAGGGCAGGGGAGCAGGGCTGGACACAGCACTCAGGCCCTGCAGCCAGCCCCGACCCAGAGGTGCCAGCACTCACCTCCAGGGGCAGGTACGTGTGCTTCTGCTCCTGCCCCACCTGCAGGCAGGGCAGGTGAGGGTATTTCAGCTGCAGGTTGTATTTCTGCTTAAAGTACTGAGCCACTGTGCACTCCACTGTCTGACCACTCTCCAGCTGCAGAGGGAACCTGGCAGGGACAGGACACGAGGGATGCACCCACTGAGAACAGACACTCCCAGACCTCAGGTGCTGTGCACTGTGGCTGGGCAGAGGGAGCTGCCAGGCTCCCACCCTGAGCCACACAACGGAACCAAGAGCACAACAGTGGCAGAAACAGAGTCAGGAATACTCTGGGCCCGGTGTGGGACTGAGGGCCCTAAAAAAAGCTCTCCCTCACTAATCCAGCTAATCAGGGTGTTTATGGCAGGACATGCCACACATGCCACAGTCAGGTACGGAAATACAGCACACTGGCACTGGGGGACTTGTGTGCTTGGTGCTCTCCCTGGGAGCTGAGCTGAGCCAACACCCTCTCCTAGCACAGGGCAGCAGCTCTGGAGTGGGCAGAGAGCAGGGGGCAGGAGAAGGACATTTCCCTTCAAAAACACAGGGCAAAAAACCCTCCTGGGTGCAGGGCCGAGGTGCCACAACCCCCACAGCTGGAGCGCGACACCCAGCACCAGCTGCTCCTGGCTCCAGGAAGAGCTCCATGAAAATGGGGAATAGACCTGACATCCTCTGTGGAGCCAGAATGAGACAGGAGACCCAGGCTGAACTGCCGGCGAGGTGCCACATTCCTCCTGCTCCCGCTGAGCCCCAGGGCCAATGGTTGAGTTTGGGTCAACTGCGGCACGCGAGGGGAGGGCTGGCCGTGCCCAGCCCGCTCCCAGGCACACGCAGAGAATTCCAAGGCAGACGTTCGTGTTATCCCCCGACAAAGCCTCTGCTCTGGCAGTGGCTATTTTAAGAAAG